TACTGTTTTCTAGGTATGTCTACATCAAATAGTATGTTGAAAAATTCTAGGAAATTATACTGTCCCGCCTCATCCCTTCCCTGCTTATCATCGTACTAAAAAATTATTCCTTTACAATCTCTACTCTAGTGAAGTCGGCTTGGCTAATGTAGACCGAGAAAGCGTAAATGATAACCAACTGGTCACGTGAAATGGAAAACCTTCCTCAGGAAACGAGCTAAGAAGGAATGGAACGGAGAATCTTCGATGTAAAGATAAGCGCTTTGTTGAACTTTGTAAAGCAGATAACCGAAGATAACGGTTACAAAGCGCTACTGTTAACTTTATTTTTATATAATTAGATCAGACGCGGAATTTATCACGTTTTCTAGTGAATTGTTCAGGAAAAAAGGAGAATTGTAACCTAAATTAAATAATCTATGACTCCACTGTCATAGATATATTCATCCACGGGACACAGCTAGCCAGCAATGGGACACAGCTAGCCAGCAATGGGACACAGCTATCCAGCAATGGGACACAGCTAGCCAGCAATGGGACACAGCTAGCCAGCAATGGGACACAGCTAGCCAGCAATGGGACACAGCTAGCCAGCAATGGGACACAGCTAGCCAGCAATGGGACATTGCTAAACCAGTGCTATTACCCCGCCACACAGCAGCCCGTGGTCGGACAAGCCAGACGTAGATTAGAATGTTATATGTCCTTGTTTAGTTCAAGACTCGATTAAGGATTTGCGTATCTTCTTATCCAGAACAAGGCTGCACTAAGAAAGAATGAGAATGTAAAGAAGTCCTTCAAGGGGGTACAATAAGGAAGTACGTGAGTGAACACTGAGTGCTCACCTGTACTAAGATACTGATAGGGAGAATGAGAGAAATTTAACAACTTAGTAATACGAGAATGAAGTAAAGATTACGTTTAAGTGTTAGTAATGTGTAACTATATCCATGAACGCTTTGAACGTGTAAAGGAGTGAAATCTTGTGTGAAAACAACAATAATCACTGGAGACACCTCGTTTTCATCGTTATTAGATAAAATAAAACTGTTCATAATACATAAAACCAAATTAATTTACAATGACATAAAATATATAAACCTAACCTCGTCCCAGCTCTATAAACTTCCAGTTCTATGGTTCCAAGAGGCCAGCCAGAGTCCACAACCTGTCCTGGACCGGCAACTGAGCGAATCCTCTTTATTCAAGCGAGGCGTAAATCTTGAATCAAAGCATAAATCTTCCAGACGTCAACTGAATGTCGATACAGCCAGTTACCTCGACCAGATTGGAAGTAGAAAATATCAGAGAGTGAGAGAAAGTAGGGTGAGAGTTTACAAATTTAAAATAAACATGGCAAATAAAGCAAAAGGCCAACCCAAATTGCTTCACAGCCACATTAAGAGGACAACAGTGAAGGAACAGGTAATGAAACTTAGAATATGGACGGACAGGTTGACTTAAAATGACAAGGACCCGGTGTGCGAGGAACTCATCAGTAGATTCTAGGAGTCCCATAGAGTATGGAGAAGCTCCTAAACCCAGATACAGAAAGTCCTGTTTAATCAGTCACCACTGGAGGAATTTAAGATTACCATTGGTTGAGGGAAAGGAATCAATTGTTCGAACTGGATGTGATAAAGGCTGTTGGCCCAGATGGGATCTCACCATGAATGCTAATAGAAGGAGTTGAAGCACAATGCTTGCCACTTTCCGTGGTGTATGTCGCTGGTAACAGGAAAGCTGCCAAAAAGTTGGAAGACAGATAATGTAGTCCCGATACAAGAAGGAAGAGAGAAGACGCTGAACTAAAGGCCAGTGTCCCTAACTAGCGTAAGATGCATTGTGATGGAGAAGATTATGAGAAAAAAAATTGAACATGTGAAGCGAAGAAACTTTGTAACACATCACCAGCATGGGTTCAAGGATTGCATATCTTGCCTCACAAGTCCAAATAAAAAAATCTATGACGAAACGACAAACAATAAAGAAGAATGAAAAGAGTAGGCAGGCTGCATATTTTTGGTCTGCCATAGAGTCGTTAAGACAGTACCTCATAAGAGACTAGAGCAAAAGTTGGAGAAGTAGGCAGGAATGGCACAGAATGTACTCCAGAGGATAACAGAGTAATTAAGCAACAAAAGACAGTTACATTCTTGTAATTCTACATTCTTGTAAAGCCACTATTACGCGTAGCGTTTCGGGCAGGGGTCCTTAACCCTAATTTCCCCGGAATACGACCCCGCCGAATCGTTTAACAACCAGGTACCCAGTCACTGCTGGGTGAACAGAGGCTACAGTTAAGGATTGGCGCCCGGTCAATCCTCCCCGGCCTAAGTTGTACTTAGTTGTACTTGTACTCAGTGAGTCACTGTGAGTGGGTGTGATCTCAGAGTGGCGAGTACAGTCAGCTTCGTTCTCGACGCAAAATCGAGAATTTCGGGTTCGTATCTTGGGCGGGACAGAAATTGTTGGATATATTTCCTTTCACCTAATGCGTCTGTTCAACTAGAAATAAGTAGGTACTCAAGCGTTAGTCAGCTTCTTGTGGGGTTGCATCCTGGGAAGGTTCAGTAATTCGACCTTGATGGGGGACCTCGGTAAAAAGCCTACCGTGTATAAAAACACTCTGGCATCCTGTCCCCCCCAACGCAATGAATTATTATTAATATTTTATTACACCGCGCCTGAAGTTTGTATTAGTTTATCCCAAAATATAAATTCTCGTTGTATCACCTAGACTCATAGTAAGAAAACTTAGCTTATTTAAGCACTAACTATACCAAAACTTCTCATAACTCCTGGTTTTCGTGTAGTTCTACGTAAAATGGGATGGAAACTGAACCTAGTCTCTCCAACTTCAGGAACTCAACACATGTCTCCAACTTTAGGTGCATAACGCAGGGGTCTTACGGCCGAGCAGACTGCATTCGCGATTTATAATCTCCGAACCCGGGTTCCATTTATTGCCTAGACAGGAACAAATGAGTCAAGTTTCTTTTATCTGATGTTTCTGGTTCACCTTTTGGTATATAGCTGCCATGGAGTTACACCTGTTGTAGGCTGCTTCCTGGGAATGAGTATGCGTGTGTGTGCGTATTCACCTAGTTGTGCTTGTGGGGGTTGAACTTTGGCTCTTTGGTCCCGCTTCTCAACCGTCAATCTGCTGGTGTACAGATTCCTGAGCTTCTCGAGTTCTATCATATCAGCATTTGAAACTGTGTGTGAAGTCAGCGACCACCACATCACTTCCTAATGCATTCCATTTACTAACTACTCTGAGACTCAAAAATTTCTTTCTTGTGTCTCTGCAGCTCATTTGGGTACTCAGCTTCCACTTGTGTCCCCTTGTGCGTTTACCAATAATCCATCCTTGTCTACCCCTGTCAATTCCCTCTGACAATTTTATATGTGATGGTCATGTCTCCATGAGCTATTCTGTCTTCCAGCGAAGTGAAGTGAAGTTCACGCAGCCTTTCCTGCGTGATTCCCGTCTCGGCCGGGAATGGAACCCGGACACTTAGGACTACGACTACCGAGCTATCTTCACTTAGCCGCAAGGCCCATATGGGGGGGGGGCTATGAGGACTAATAAACACACACACAAATACCATGTATGTGTGTGTCTGTGTGAAAAATATATTTGATACAGAAAAAACAGGTCTGGAGTCTATCAATTTGATAACCATCGGTTAGAATTGCTGTGGTCCAAACGCTAACAACTCAATCCTTCAGGAACATACATCAAATGTATGTCTCTAGCTTTAGGTACTCAATATGTCTCGAACTTCAGCTATCCAACATATCTAACTCCAACTTTGAGAACTCGATACATCTTTCTAACTTGAGGTGGTCAACATGTCTCCAACGTCTATGAAAAGCTCCAATGTAATTTGTATAAAGTTCAATAGCTTCTGTAATGTTGTACTTTCGAATACATTGCTGTATTCATCATAAGATCAAGCACAAAAAAGTCATGTATTAATATTAATTTGAAAACAAAGAAAATTTCACTGAAAAAAGACTACTTAATACACGATGAAACGAAGTAATAACACCGGTTGTGACAATAATATAACAAGCACATAACTTTACTTACAAGATTTGAAGACAAATTGGAGTTTGATAGGTCATGCTCGGAGATAGCAAATACCAACTAGAAATTACAATTGAAAACAATGTAATTCTAAAAACTTATACAAACACAAAAGAATTAAAACAAACTGCAGACTAACAATTATCACTTTTTTATACAAAAACATATTACACAAATATTGTTTTAATGCTGAATAATAATGCTTCAGCCATACATCTGCATAGTATGTAAGTCTTATCTAGGTTTTAGTTCTACGTTTACTCATAATTCTCGTCGACTTCACAATATTTTTTTAGTCCCCCCTTGATTTGAGTTTTTTATGGTGCTCATTTCGAGTGACATCATATATCTGTTTAATTAAGTTACTGAGCATAATATTTGGTATTCAGTGTTGTGATCTACACTGTGTAATCTTTCATATAGAAAAGGGTAGCAGCACATTGCTGTGTATACCTAAGCTTGTTAATAAAAAACAAAAATCATTGTTGAGTAATATGTGTTTTTTTATAATGTTAGTAATTGTTATCTGAAATTTGTTTTAATTATTTTGTGTTTGTTTCAGTTTCTATTTACTTTGATTGATCAAAATATTTAAGTACACGTTTTGCGACGGTTGTCTATTGTATAATCAGCGTCACTCCTTTATCTCTTGCCTTGTAGTAAGCAATCCCCTACAGTGTAAGTTTATTGTTTTATTGATATATGCACAAGCGGTCTCGCTGCTGCAGTAGTCAGAGTATCCAGTGCTGTTGATATCGAGGCCCTCCCAGCGGCCTAGGTTCAAATCCTCTAAGGGGGTCATAAAGTGGTATATGTGCTTAGGGGACCATTCAAGCTTTGCTCACTCATGTACATATTAATATTTTTATATAACAGTTTTCTTTTTCACATTAAGAAAAAGTCGCAGGATTTATAACTTTATTAATTCTATTTACTAGTATTCATTTTATACGTTTTTACCATGTTTTAATTGTCAGTTACAGTTATTAGCTTAACCTGCATGTTACTTCAAACAGTGAACATGTTACAAGAATTAACTTGATAAAATCTTCCGATGAACACAAATCCCGTACAACATTGAAGTGACCTGCAAATAATTAAATCCTCGACAAGAAGTCGCTTCTCTCTCGTAAACGGTCATATATAATATCACGTTAAAAGCAAATAGTGAATCATATCCTGATACATCGTCTCTCTCTTTCTGTGAGTCTTCCTCATATTCCCACCTGCGGACATCTCTCATGTATACATATCACAAATACCCACCCCCCTCATATACCCACCTGTGTGCTTCCCTCTTAGGTACACCCACCTTATATACCAACCTGTGAGCCTGCCTGAGGCATGCCCATATTACATACCCACTTGTGAACCTGCCTGAGGCATGGCCACAAAACATACCCACTTGTGAACCTGCCTCAGGCATACCCACATACCATACCCATTTGTGAACCTGCCTCAGGCACGCCCACATAACATACCCACTTGTGAACCTGCCTCAGGCACGCCCACATAACATACCCACTTGTGAACCTGCTTCAGGCAAGCACACATAACATACCCACTTGTGAACCTGCCACAGGCATGCCCACATAACATACCCACTTGTGAGCCTTCCTCAGGCATGCCCATATAACATACCCACTTGTGAACCTGCCTCAGGTGTACATACCCACATCACATCCCCACCTGTTATTTCACAATAATGTGTTATACTGTTTTTACTCACTTATAAATGGTATATTGCTGTTTTGTAATGTTTGATTACATTATCATATGTCATTTCTAGCAGAGGCAGATTACCTGGTGATAACCGAACGCCTGAAAAATATACTTATATATTCTATTCGGCTGCGTGATGCCCTTGTTATAAAACGAGAACATTCGAATGTGAACTACAAACAAAGATGTGCATGTTAAATTAAACCAATTACACATGATTAACACCGAGTTTATGTAAGGATCATTTCCTCCAGTCATCACTTGGTATAAACATGTCACCCCACTGACTGTTCAATTGCAAATAGAGAAATACTCATAACTTTAGTAGACAGTAATGCAAACAATAAACTAAAGTGTGACACTATATATGTAAGAGTCATTAGAGGTCATCCATACCCTGACTATATATAAGTCTGAAGTATAATACGCTAAAAGTAATTTGATAAAAAAATCAAGTGTCGATCAGTGTTGATAGAGCGTCAACCCGAGCTCGCAGAGCGTCGACTGGAGATAGTAGAGCGTCGACGGACTCGTAGAGCGAAGATTCGACCTGGTGGAGCTGCAGCTGTTCCCTATATGTCCATTAACTGGTTCTCATGCATAAAGATTTCGCTTGCCAGTCTCTTCTTCCTCTTCAACTAAATATAACAAATAAATGAATACGTTAATAATGATGTTTACAGTAAAAAGAATATAATAATAATAATAATAATAATAATAATAATAATAATAATAATAATAATAATAATAATAACAATAATAATAATAATAATAATAATAATAATATCAATAGTAGTAGTAGTAGTAGTACTACTACTACTACTACTACTGCTACTACTACTACTACTACTACTTCTACTACTACTACTACTACTGCTACTACTACTACTACTACTACTACTACTACTACTACTACTACTGCTACTACTACGACTACTACTCACAGAACGAGCGTAGGAGTGGACGACGTGAAGGCAGAAGACCAGGAAACTGAAGACCAGCACAGCCAGCACAATGTGCCAGCCTTGGACGCGCTCCTCGTAGAACAGGAAGATGACGGAGGCGGTGATCTGCACCAGCAGCTGTAGCGCCGTCCACCACAACCACATCGTCACCTTCCTCAGGCATTCCTAGTGGAGAGTGGGGGGCACTTGAAGGCTCGAACATGATTATCTATCCAAGACGGTATTGGACAAAACGATAGATAGCTTTTAGTTTCAGCTAATACTTCTTAATTAATTACGGACAAGATATGATATTTATTTTGACCAGACCACACACTAGAAAGTAAACGGATGACGACGTTTCGGTCCGTCCTGGACCATTCTCAAGTCGAAACGTCGTCGTCCCTTCACCTTCTAGTGTGTAGTCTGGTCATAGATGGATAAACCCTTAACCAAGTGTGAATAAACAACCTGGGGTGCAGATCTCACCTTGTGAACGCCACGCAAGAGCAGGCCAGCGAATATGAAGTCAATAAATGCCACTATCGCCTCCACCACCATGTGCGCCACTGACAGTGGGTCGTCGTTAAGCCCATCGACAATATATGTCCCTAAGGATGTGTGAGAGGTAGGTAGTCACGTGAGAAGTACAAACACACAAGCGACACAGTAAATCAAAGTTATAATATGATACAATTTTTACATCTGTTCTATTTTAACTGAGACTAGACTTCATTAGAAATTCTGTTCACGTAACGGGAGTACAGTTGTACAATTTTCTTCGTCTTCGACTCACAGTTGGGATTCCTAGGTTCGAATCCCAGGCGGAACAAAAATAGTTAGGCACGTTTCATATCACCTAATGCAGCAAAGAGGTTGACAGGAGGCAGTCACCTTGTTGTGGGGTTGCATTCTGGGGAATGTAGTTCGTAGTTTGACTTTGGGGAGACCTCGATATAACTAACATATATACGTACACAGACTGCCTGTCCCGCGACAAAATGAATTTTTAAATTATTATATGTGCAGGCACAAAAATTATTTACATGAATATATTTACCATAAATAAACACCAAATGTAGCAATATAAGTGACATTCCAGGAAACGAGAATGTAATGTTCACATAACATTCTAAATCTCCATAGAAGTGCAATATAATATAGTTGAAGAACTATTTTTACCTGAAAAACTCACGATGGCGAAAACTCCCAGTACAAGATGTATCGAGTCAAACAGCTGAGGAGGAGAGAGATTATTTACCATCCCTTAGTTGGGAACTTAAATTAGAAAAGTGCGAAGGTTCCTTTAGCTCAAATGGAACAAAATTTAATTAGTCGTCCAAAAGTTAAGGACGTGTGTGATTATACATGTTATATGTGCCTATCAATGGTCTCAAATATAGAACAGTAAAGTTAAAAATGTAATTTAAGAAAATGTTTGTAAGACTTTTACTTTCGTTACAACTTATATTAATGCTAATATAAATTATGATAATAATAATAATATTTATAATGATGATATTGCTACTACTGCTACTATTTCTACTACTACTACTAACAATAATAATAATAATGAGGAAATCAGTAGAAGCCATGAAGAGGATTCGAACCCGCTCCCTTGGTACTCCCAAGCTAGCACCCTAGATGACAACGCCACGGCATGGTAAAAAAATTAAGCATCCTTGGATTCCAATGAATCCTCTGGGAATCCTTTGGCTTACAACTGAATCCCAATCAGGGTTTGAACTACTGAACCGTTAACCAGAGTGCATGGAGAAGGGGGGACAGGGCGATGCTTAAAACCTTGATTGGGCTTCAGTTGTAAGACCTAGATGGTTCAGTGGAATCCCAGGTTGCATTGCTTTTTGACCACGTCATGGTTACGTTAATGTAATGTCATTGTGCAGTAATAATATTAATACTTGCATGTTTTTTTCCTGTAACTTTCCAAAAGAGAAAACTGTGGAACATTTACGTTTGCCTGGCCAGGCAACACAACAGCATCAGCACACGAGCTCACTAGCTAGGCCATAAAAGTATTTGTGTGTACGTCTGATACCATACTACTTGTGAAGGAGGAAATGTATATGTTTACCTCTCAGAATGTTTGGTAATATGTTTATTTGTGATGTGTGTCTATGTATATATTAACACGTTGTACGGAATGGGGTGAGAATAGCTTGAGCTACCTCATCCCTTTGTGTGTATTTTACCTCAATAAACTTATTTCAATTTCAATTTCAGTTTCAAGTGGAACGACAGGCTAAGAGCTCTTTACAAAAAGCTAAGCAAAATATATATTGAAAAATCTATACCAATAACATTGCTCTGAGTCGTTGTGAAGATCTTGATTATAATTACCTTCTAAGAAAGATGGTAAGTAAATCACTTGACGCTATCTTAGAATTATACACATATCTTACACTATCACCATTTATACTGTTTTATCATAATATTAGATAGGAAATTAATGATTTCTTCAGTAAAAATCTCTTCATGACAAACACGTAAGGAATGTTTCAGCAAAATTTGTTAGGGCATAAGAATGGCTGCAAAAAGGGTATTGAGTGCATTACCTATATTACTCTGCAATTTCCAATTCAGATCTCTAGAGGAGAATTCGCCAAATGGAATTCGTATTACTTATACTCTTATTACTAATGAAACACGATACAAAAAATCTAAATTATTTGACGTCATTCTAAATTAAGCTGTTAAAAAAATCAGGAATGGATACCTATACCATAAAAAGTTAATTATAATTTCTATGACTTTAATTTCTAGTAGCTATTGTATGTGTTTACACATATTGTTGTACTCACCTAGTTGGGCTTGCGGGGATTGAGCTTCGGCTCTTCGGTCACCTCTCTCAACCATCAATCATCTGGTATACAGGTTCCTCTGACGCAATTGTGTGTATGTGTGTGTGTTTGTATGTGTGAGTGAGTGCGTGTGTTTGTGTGTTTACCCCTTATCTTGTTCTGTGATTGAGTGGAAAACACCAACATGAAGTTAAAACGAGAATTAATTCATCGCTCACCATGTCAGTCACTCCCACTATGAGTGCTCCAGTCCTCAGAGATAGGCAGCAGCATCTCTTCATTTCATACATGATGCTAAAATAAAATGAAAATATTCGATTAATTATTTTAACACTTCTCAGTAGGCTGACAGACAGCGGAGCCTGCATTAGAGACGTTTTGTGTATTGGTAAAGTCAATATTATTACCAATATTATGCGGTTGATTGATCAACTCATGCAAACAATGGTATCACTATTTATATTTGTAACATTTACTCATCTTGACATCATAAAAACACTTTTATTAAAAATTCCTAAAGTAGTTGCAATGATTGTGTGTATAAAATTAAATGCAAAAATTTATGTGTCGTTATTGGCCAAAACGAGTAAACATCTTGAGCAAAAAATTAATAATAATTGTTGTAATTAATAATTATTTATCTTCCTAATTTATCTATCTTCTTTTAGCAGTGTGTGTGAAAGCACAGTAGACGTAAGCGTCTACCGCACTTATTTTTTTCCCTTTCAGGACATTCATTAACAGCATTTCGGCACATTCCTATGTTAGATTCCTTAGTGTAGACTGCTACGTAGAAGCAACAGTAACATCTAGAGAAACCACCTTACCTTCTCTGTCCACCTCGTAAGTTAAACTAAGTAAGTAACTTCGCTCAATGGCTTCCTTAAGCTGTTGCAAATGCGTAGTGTCAAGTACCTGCTAGAATATCACCAACCTTTCATCAGTAGAGGTCTGGTTTTAGGTCTATGTCAAACAAGACTTGTCTTCTCAATAGCACTCATGTTAAATCTCGCAAACAGAATATCAAGAGAGGAAACGCAGGTCTTCACCATTTACTTGCTTTTACATAAGACCATTATGGCACAGGAATAGGGCCTGTTTAATACATGTATCTAGTAGTTCTATAAATGTTCTTCCTAAGATGCAAAGAAGAATGCTTACTGGATACGGATAAACTTTTTTCCATTATCATTCCAAATATATCATCCACTTCCCTGTTGGTGAACAGTGAAGAAACATTTAAAGAATATCTCACACTGGATGCCTGCGATCCTTTGCAATAAGTCGACAAATTAGTTTGAATAGATAATGCTGAAAGCGCCAGCTACGTATGGGATCGGGAGTGTGTTGAGTCGTTTAACCAGGCTGGACGCAGTTGCTGCTATCTGGGTGATGGTCACATGAAGCGGGTTTCCAGGTTTGTGGGTCTTGACAGACCCACGAGCTCATCCAGTATTCAAATCTCCAGTAGCTTTAGGCAAGTGAAGTCCGGACCATTTGGCCTTGAGATTTTCATCCAATCTGCTTGCCTTCGTCTTCAATCCGTCAGTAATAACCTAAGTTGTCCTTTGGAATCAAGCTTGACCAGAGAGGAAGAGGTATATTTTCATACTATACTCATCCATTTTTAAGATGACCTATAATGGTGTCTTGCCACCTCTTCTAGCAACTTTTCCTTTATTCTCAAGAACGTTCTTAGTTGCTGCTTTGAACTTGAGAGAGAGTGTATATTGCTTACGTAGTTTCCTTGAGTCTTTCCTCCTCCTGCCAGACGTTTTATTTACATAGTATCCCCAGTGGTGACCTTCCTCTGCGTCTCAAGGTCAAATATGTCAATCAAACAGGATCTCCTGCTCTGGCTTTGGTCCTCAGAGATGTTGATTCCAGGATCTCATCGAAACCAACCACACAGGATGGGTTTCAGGTCCATAATAAATGAACTGAACTATTCAACTAATGTATAAATATATAGATTATATACATAGTGACTTATTTATACTGGCACAGCGAGTGACTCACCCTCTTTATCGCAGCTTCACGGAAACTTAATAGTTCAGCAAAATGGATCTTCTCCTCCCACGATCTTTTTTTCCTTTGCTTGTATGTGGCAGGTTACTATTACAGCTTCTTCTGCTCTATTGTTAGTTTCCTAATATGGTTACTTTGTGGTATACTTTGTCAACATTGGAACGCAAAGCCCGTCTTCCCTCACTCATGATAACACACTGTCAACCTCCCTGCTCAATCTTATCACGCTGGTCTCTTGGTCTTATCGGAGTCGGCACTCCCTATCTTATCTCATTAATGTGATAAATAACAGAATTCTCTTCCTTCTCTTTATATAGTTTATGGTAAAACTGATAACTGCTATTACGTTTCTACTTCATGGATATTAAATAGACTGTAGCTCAATTCACGAGGTAATAATGTCTGTTCCGGGGAAATGATTTGTTTTTTATAGTTATCCACAAAATATTAGTTTTCTATAACATCATGTACGTCTAAAGAAAATGGTTTCATGGCTGGCTCTCTTATTATATAATTTCTCGGAATAGTAATTAATCATTCATTTTGTAGGGGGACAGGCCGCCTGTGTACTCTATATATATATAAGTTAGACATATACTGACGCTTCCCCCAAGGTCGAACATGCAACAAGTCATACAAGACGAGATCTAGAGATTGAGAGGACCGGGTTTTAAGCAGTGTCCAAAATTTTTTGCGAGTCTTAGCTCTTTTTGTTTTAAAGGTCTTTGAAACGGGGCATTCATTGCTTCTTGCAGTGTTTTTT